AACATTTCGCATCAAGGTGTGAAATTTCACGAGTTTTGTTTTGGATTCGCTTTTGCGTGTGTGTTAAGCAAAGTTTGTAAATTCGAGTCTTTTTATTTTCTAACAAAATCAATGAGTCAGTGCTTAAATATTTGAATTTTAAATCTAGAACTTGTTTTGTTCACTACAAGTCTTCATGTTTCTTTATTAATATTTATCCCTACAGTTTGAAACATCCAACTTACTTTTATAGACAACTTTTCCGAAATGTTTGACGTAGAACTAGAAGTGCACATCAAATGCAATAAATGCATATCTGATGGTCATACACGAAATGCATATACAATGACAATTTATCTTCTGCCGTGGTAGCCGATGTAATATAAAAACAACTCACTCTTTTCTAGTGAACAAACCCTGCCTTGTTTGGACGAGAGATTTAGAGGCCGAACAAGATTTCTTTAATTCAAATTGTGAAACAAGCGAGAACGTACTTTTAATTTACATTGTCTGATCACTTTCAATGGTGACGGCTGCAGTTGAAACGACGGTGCACTGCACCTCTCACAGTTGGAAGTCGAAAGATGATTTAAAATAAATAAGGAAATAAAACGTACGCGTGAATGCCGGGAACGAATCTTTACTTGTTTCCTACAGCCATTATTTGGCCAAATCCACATCAATGTGTACTCAGTTGCTCAGGTGATTCGTGACTTGTGTCTTCGTTTAATCGCGACATGTTACCAAATATGAAATCTACATCCCTTGATAAATCAATATTATTGAATATATTACACTACTGTTGCTTACTAATAAGTGTGAATTGCAACCTTCCTTGAAATAGTAGATTGCAATTTAAAAAAACAACAACAAAAAAACTGACTTTTGATGTAAACGAAAAATATCTTGAAAACTAGACTGCGAAATTAACCGGAAAAGTATTTTTATTATTTTTAGAATTCTCAAGAAAATTCAGGCATTTGGAATAGACGTTTATAAAGTGATGCGTCAATGTCAGTGCGCATGCGTGCATTACAGAAGCCTTTTGGAATGTTCTTGTTTCTTGCTACTTCCCTGAAGAAGAAAAGAAGCAAGAAAAGAACTTCTTCCTTTCTTGGTTGCTGTCATTGTAATGCTAGGAAGCTTATGAAAGGTGTAAAAAGAATTGTGAATATTGACAAGAATAACTTGAGCTTGCTGACTTTGGTTTGCAAAATGGCTGCAGTTGGTGATTATGAATCAATGCAAAAGAACGCGAATAATAGCCGAGTAACAAGATAAACGCTGCAGATTATGAGAATACATTTTTTTCTCTGTGATGTTTGGCTGGTTTTGTGAATTTTGTGCAATACAGATATTTATTAAACTGGATCAAGTAGAGGCACGAGGTCAAGTTACAGAGAAATTAGTACTAGTGAAGGAGATACTTGTGCTTAAAGACTGACCCTTGGTAATAGTGAGAAATAAGAAACTTTCTTCCACGAAGAAACTAACAAATATTTAATATAGAGACTTCTGTTTATTTGTTTGTAATAAAAATATCTATATATATCTATATCTATATCTATCTATCTATATATATCTATATATATATATCTATATATATATCTATATATATATATATATATATATATATATATATGAACGTTCTCCGACGAAACGGGTCATTAATAAAATTTTCCACTATGTCTCATCATCTTTACTTTATATATATAATGAAATGAATTAAGTCCGACAGTTATTTAATATATTTTCTGTTTATACGTTATTTTTATAGATACAATTTATTTGAGTAAATGCTCTGTATTTTTTATCTGATTTTTTTTTGTTTTTCAATTAAACACTATTAATGACATTTACCGACCTGAATGTTCGAGAAATTTCGGAGAAAATATGCGTTCTCCGACAGGAATCGAACCTACATTTCTATACGGAAAACATCATTTGATATGATGTGTTATACCATTTAGTTACAGAGAAGCGTCTGGTTAGCAAAGTCCAAATTACTGTCTGTAACACGCAATCTTCTTTGTTTTCTTGATCGATCATATCTACTCACGAAACGTATCTTAACGTAAACAATGACAACATATAATGAAATGAATTCGACAATAATTTAATATATTTTCTGTTTTTACATAAACACACACTCACACACATATATATGAAGAAATATAGTTTTGATGTGTGCTATATTTATGGGATAAAGTGCTCAATATCAGAGATAGAGCGTATGTAAATATAAATATAAAAATGTACATTGAAGTCAACACTCAGAGGTGACAGGCCGTTTCATGCTAGGCGCAATCGTCAGACACTGACGATTGCGTCTAGCATGAAACAGCCTGTCGCCTCTGCGTGTTGACTTCAATGTTCACTTTTATATATATATATATATGTGTGTGTGTGTGTGTGTGTGTGTGTGTGTGTGCAAATATATAGAAAAATAGGAAAGAACCATTAGGTTAATAATCCGAAATTCTTTAGTATTTTTGTTTTTATTTAAAAAAAAAAACAAAAAAAAAACTATGCTCAATACATAAGTAGAGCCTAAAATGGCAATAACTCTCTGTCGTTGAAATAGACCAGACGATCTGCGTCAAACGGATGTCATCGTTCTCTTGAAAATAGGCACCCCGACCAGACCTGGCGTTAACCTCTTTCCGAATGTAACTAATATGTTGATACAATAGTTCTCAGTGAAAATGTAAACCCTTACGCCCCTTATTAAAATAATTAGTTCCGCTGTTTCCATAGTAATTAATATTACGAATGTATATGCTTATAAAACTCCGTAAATTTCAAGATTAATTATTCCAAAATTCGCTTGAAGATGAAACAGAGCTGGGTAATTTAATTCAATTTAATTTAATTTGTATAATTAAATTGAAATTTTTGCTTCTGTTTTTGAAACTTGAGAACTCTTATGTAGCGATAGAATCATATTTTTAAAAAAATAATTATAATATATATATATATATATATATATATATATATATATATATATATATATACACAGTTGTATGGATATGAGTTTGTAACCCTGGGTTTCACGCTTTTGCGATCATAAGACAAACTGATTTATTTTTTAAAAATTGAATCTATTTATGCTTTGTGTTTGGTTATGTTTGGTGGTGAGAGGGAAATGCTTCTATGTGTCCGTTTTGGAATGACACTCTCAGACACAGACACACATATGTACTCATTTTAGTGCACACAAACACACCGATATAAACAATCGGAGATTAGGCCAGATACACAGCCATGTGTTCGAGCATACATACATACGCAATTACAATCCTATTTCGGTGTCGAGACTGTATGTAGCGAAGTTCTTTCAACAAGGGGCAGGTTGGGGAATTCTTGGCTATTTTCTGATCGGCCGTCCGCGTCCTCAAACGGAATAACACTTCTTCACAAACACATAGACACATGTAGACGTGCACATATATTTTTATTTGTCCCGGCCTTATATGATTGCTTAAGTGGGTTCTGTATGTGAATATGGCGGTGATGATGGATTTATTTTCAATGCTAATTGTTTGTATATTGAAGACGATATATATATATATATATATATATATATATATATATATATATATATTTATATATATATATGTCAAAAGATTTCCTTAAATAATGTTTAAAAATAAAATTAAAAAAATGGGAGCTGATAATATACATACTTATATTTGATATGAAAAAATAATTTTAAATAACGTAAGTAATTCTATTACATTTACTTTTACTATTTACTTTACTATTTACTTTACATTTAAAAGAAATATAGTCTATTAGCAATCAAGTGTAAATATATTTTAAAATTGTAGTTAAATAAAACGTATTCTATTACGAATAGATCTAAAAAGAATCTTTAAGTATACAAGTAAGAAAAAAATGCCGAAAAACTTTTTGCCGTTAATAAAAAAAACCCAGACGACATGCATTTAACGGATGTCAGAATTCGTTGAAAAATACACCCCTACCCCCTAAACTTAGCCTCTTTTTCGAACGTAACTCATAATTGATACAACAATAGTTAATAAAAATCAACACGCTACCGCCCCTGTCTGAATGATTAGATTTCTCTGTATCCTTGGAAACAGGAAATTATGAATTTATGTGTGTGTTTAAAACTCAGTAAATTTAAAAATAAGTTATTCCAATATTAGCTTGAAGATAAAATGGAACTAATGCTTTTAATTTAATTATATAATTAAATTTAAAGCTTTTAGCTTCCATTTTTGAAATATGGTTATTACTGTATAGCAAAAAAAACATATTTTGAATCAGCTAATTTATAATATTTACGCTCTGTAAATTTACATTGAGTACTGTTTTGTAAAAATAAAAATAAAAAATATCAATAAGAACACCGGGTTATATATATCTTACTGTTTTTTTTCTTTCTTTCTATATATATATATATATATATATATATATATATATATATATATATATATATATATATATGTGTGTGTGTGTGTGTGTGTGTGTGTGTGTGTGTGTGTATGTATATATAAACTTGTACAATCTATATGCAAATTCGATACTTATTTCACCTTTCGTGTATTTAATACTCCTGCTATACTTATGGCAACCAGAGTATATTCAACAAAGTAAATAGAAATGGCATTATTAAAAAATATCAAAATGGTTCAGGTCATTTGAAATTAGATTGTTAATTGCATCTCAAAATGAAAATTATTTATTCTGATATGAACTTCTGTGTGGATGAAAATTGTGATATAAATAATGATGGCGACTGTAAGCCCATTTTTTTTATCAGGATGCTGTTAGATATTTAAATAAACGCAGCAACAAAATGCCCAGCTTCCACAGTTTATTTATCTCTTGTATTTCTCTATTTATCCCTGTAATAGAAAGTTATTTTCTGCAACTGATAGAAAACGCATGTCTCTAAACAGATATTTAACTGGCCTTTTCTTATCTTCTTTTCTTAAAGAGTTCCTAAGAACGCAAATGAAGGAAGGGTGTGATAGGGTGTGCAGAGCCGATATATGGTTCCTGCCGAATCTCAGAAGAAAGAAAGTACTGCTCATATCTATCTATCTATCTATCTGTCTATCTATCTATCTATCTATCATATCACAGTTTGTTTTGTTAGTATCTATGTAAAACAAACAAAACACTGATTATTATCAGCATTTTTTGGAAGACGTTGACTTTAGAAACGGCATGGGTTATTTCATCTTACTCTCACATCCAACTCCTCCCACTGACCCCTCTCAAATACCCACGCTTATTCATTTTCTCCCTCGCTTCTTTGCTTAATCATTGACTGGTGTCGCCTTAACAACCAGTGCGCATTTTCGCTCCCCAAATTTCGCTTTCCGGGGTAGCAGTCCAATATCAGGTCTGGGTCCGAAAAGATGTCTGAATCTTCTCTAATCGACCACATTTTGTGAGTTACTGTCATTTTTTTTTCATTTCACACTTTTTTTTTTTTTTTACGCTTTCTTTCCATGACGTGTTTTGTTTTTTTTTGTTTTTTTAATTTATGCTTTTAGTTTTTATAAATTAAATTTTTTTTATAAATTAAAATCTTTTTATAAATTAATTTTCTTTTTTATAAATTAAAATCTTGAACATTTACGTCACAGGAACGGAATGTTCCTCCGTGACTTTAAGAGGAAGCTTGTCACAAATGAAAGAGAAAAACACCGATGTTATTTCGTTCAGAATTTAATCGGATCAGTTTGGAATACAATCTTGTGAATATTCAAAACTACTAAATGGCACACACACACACACACACACACACACACACACACATATATATATATATATATCATAGTTTTAAATTCAAGGTATTACTGCAGCATAGAAAACTGTTTTTAAAAAGAAGTTGTGTATCATTTACATTGCTTATAGGTTGGTTGCGAAAATGGTTGCAGAGAAAAATAACTACCTGGTCAAATAGCGATTTATTAAGCGTAGTTTAGATATGGCATAAATCAAAACCAAAAGTATGGAGCTCTTAGTGAGGATTGAACTCACTACTTAATTAGCTACGTAAGTAATCAAGCGAGGCCAGATTGCTAACCATTACACCACGCCGTAGCACTAAAGCACTTGCGTTGCGTGTCTTTGACATTACGAAATACGGTAGACATATTTGACAATAATAACAGGTGTAATGTTTTCTTAATGAATTTCCGACTTGCCAATCGGAATTATATTTATTCTTTTTGTTGTATTTTTTCTTCGTATTTGTATTTTACTGCAAATTCATCGAAATAAATCATTGAATCTTTTTTAACTATGGCAATTTTATAATTAAATATATTTTTTCATATTTTAGCCCAATCTTCTTTGGCTGTTTCATTTCTCCCCTTGACTCTATTAAATGCTTGTAAATAATGGATAATGGACTATCTATCTATCTATCTATCTATCTATCTATCTATCTATCTATCTCTCTCTCTCTCTCTCTCTCTATATATATATATATATATATATATATATATATATATATATATATATATATATATATATATATATATATATATATATATATATATATATATATATATATTGAAATGGACAAAGTCCGACAATTATTAATATAAACATAAAAATGTCTTAAAACAATTCCGACAATTATTCATAGAAACATAAAAATGTCTTAAAATAATTGTTGGACTTTGTCCATTTCATAATGTGTAACGTCATTTGTTTACATTTGGATACGCATTGAGCAGATATGAATGTACGTGAGAGAATCATGGAAGATTGTATTTTAAAAACAGTAAAATCGACCATGGAGACCGAATGATTCTGTAGCTCGATCGGTAAAAGCATGTCAGGCTATATGTCGGTTTCGTATAGAATACAGGTTCGATTCCCGTTGGAGAACGAATATTTTTTATGAAAATTTCTTGGACATTCGGACCGGTAAATGTTGTTAATACTGTTTATTATAAACAGAGTATTTACTTAAATATTTGTGTCTATAAAAAGAATGTATAAACATAAAGATGTCTTATATATAATATATATATATATATATATATATATATATATATATATATATATATATATATATATATATATAGTCTGTTCCTATCTATCTATCTGAATATATATGTACGCACTCACGGATATACATACATTTACGTATATACGTCAAAACACATATGCCAATTCATAAATCGCTTTTTGAACTTTAGGCACTGACGCCCCCATCCCCACAAAATACCTGAAAACAGGATACCTTTCAGTATTCCACTCTCATTGCACTGAAACAGTTGCTTAGGTATTTTTGCAAATCATTGGAAATTGATGTAACACCATCTTTCTATTTTTTTTACAATCATTTGTCTTTTAATTGAACGAAGGTCAGAATGGATAAGCGGACAAGTGTTTTTGGAAAACGAATGATTTATGATTTTAATTTTATAAAAAAATACGTCTTAGAAAAGAAATCTAGACGGAAATGCGCACAAGTCAATTTTATGTTAATTGCACACCTCCAAACAGAGTGTAATATTTCCGGTTTTCTCATCATTTAACAGACTTCTGAAGAATCAGGAAAACTATTTCAATGAAAATGATTTCAATCCAATCATTTTTCTGTTCGACTTTCATTATTTTTCATATTTTATTCGTCTGGCTTTTTCTTAACCTTTTCATTTGTGTTACATAAAAATATCTTCAGCAAAAAAGAAAAGCGGATTACCTCCTTTGAAAAGTTAAATATATCTGTCCATCTTGGTGTCGTAATATATATATATATATATATATATATATATATATATATATATATATATATATATATAATTTTATTTTGAGAGATTATAATAAAAACATGTTGTTATAGGCTACACAAAAGCTTTCATGTTTCAATACTTTGATTGTACTTCTTCAGGCGATGGTAAGTAACTGGTGATTAAATGATTTTTAAGTAAATTTCAAAAGCAAAGTGTTTCCAAAAGTTAAAGTGGGGAGGGGGGGACATAAGTTCAGAATTAAAATTAGACTTGTGGGTATTTTTATTTAAATGATTAACCAATTAAATGTCAGATTTGCGCTAAATAGAAAAGTAAGCTCAGAGGAGGAAGATAGGGGTAGTTATTTTTTCATGCCATGATAAACCGGAATATATATATATATATATATATATATATATATATATATATATATATATATATTAATTCAAACATTATTTTAGTGAATATCCATATTTGAATAGACGCTCTTTTTTAAAACAGTGCGTATTAAATCTTCAGTTTTAGAAAACTTAATAAAGAAGGTGTACTTTCTGGTAGGTTTCATTACTGCGTCCTCATTTGTAGAATAAACTTCTGTCTGATCCGCAGCGCTTTAGACTGCTCGGCCACAGAGAGTGTCACAGCCCGGCAAAGTTCTATTTAACCTTTTAAGTAATCTACATCTCGTTTAGATTATAACGAAAACCCATATCTGCTCGATTCCGTAAAAGTGATTTCTAGAGAATTAATGCACTTATTTTTAATTCAGTTTTTTTTTTATTTATTTTTTTTTTATTATTACTTCCATCATTATTTTTAGTGGAGAGCTCTCGTTTTTTAAACAATATGTTATTATGTCTACCGTACTGCCATAGCGTTTAGGTCATTATGCACTCTTGAAGAAGGCGGGAAATTCCAACGGCCGAAAAATTGTGGGTGTAACATCTAAGATGTGGCTACCAATTTGCATCAATCTATGTATAAAATTATAATTGCTTATCTCAGAAAATTTGACGGAAATTCTGCGTATACATACATATACTTTCATATTCATATTGTCCTTTTTAGTTTTCTGCTCATAATTGTGTTTTCTGTGTATAAAACTTGTCTATATATATATATATATATATATATATATATATATATATATATATATATATAATAAAAAGGTTTAAGCACTAATATTCCATGGTTATAATTTATTACATTGGAATCGTAATTACGATCCAATTCATCAGACCTACAAATTCAAAAAGAAATCAGAAAAAATAAATCCGGGAATAAAAAAAATAAAATTTAGCGAGAGTTTATGTATGAGTGGGGGACGAATGTGAGAGGTAAAAGAAAGTTCTAGAGAGGGGTAACGAACGAGAGAAGGACAGGGAGGCCTAAAAGTGAGGGTGGGGATTAAAATTTAACAGAGAGAAGTTTTAAAGAGAAGAGTTCACTCTCTGTCGAAACTTTAATTAGTATGAAACATAGATTGATATACATTTCCTATTTGTTCTTTTATTTTATTTTATATATATATATATATATATATATATATATATATATATATATATATGCATGTATGTGTGTGTGTTAATGTACCAATATTACTGAAAATCCTCAGCCCAGCCAAAATAGTCGTTTAGTGTTTGGTCATTTCAACAGATTTAGGGACAGTAGTTCGTTCCATGAACTTTTCACCACTCCCGTCGTGTGTATAAACAGAGATAACAGATCTTCTATTGCAGTTTATTACCTATAACTTTATACATACATAGATCTGAATATATAGACAGCTGCTTACCGATCTGAACTTCGCCTGGCACAAGGCTTTTACTTAGAAGCACTCAATGATCTGTGAGATGAGAATTTTAAATTTTTTTACGTCGAGGTGTTCAGTTTATTTATGAGATGAAGGAATATAAACGATCCGTAAGGATGTTTATTAAGTTGTTCTTCGTCTGGCACAAGGCCCTCAAAATATGTTACCCTGTGAGTATCGAACTGAGTACACTATAATAATAGCCTACTCGACCAGCTCGTTACCAATACCTCCCACACTACGAGGCGGCGAACGTAACTGTGGTATTATTGTTTCTTTTGTAACTTAATTTCTCTTTTCTATATTTTTCTTCTTGTGTTTCTCTTTTAAATAACCGTTTGCATTCTTTGTCTTCAGAGATATGCGATGTAAACTACTAATTTCATCTTCTGCACAAACAGTATGAGTTATTTCCAGAATCGTTTTAAAAATATTTACTTCCGATTAACCAAGCCAGAGTTATGAGTTATCTGCCCTTTACTTTGCTTCATCGTGCCTCCTAGCAGGTTAGCCGAGCACAGAGCAATCTCTGTTTCGCGTTAACAGGTACACATGTAAGCGCCTACTGCAGTCTAAATGTTGCGTGGGC